TCAGCGAGGGCGTGCGGCTGTAGCGCAGCCCGTGACCCCGGGAAGGAGGGTGATGGGTACGTGTAGAGGGAGTTTGGGTGTATTTGTAATAGCTCTGGGAGCCGGGGGTCTGACGGCCGTGCTGGGATCTCATGGCTCAGGGGAGCAGCGTTGGGCTCTGTTGGTGTGAAAATCACTACCTGAGCAAGGAGGGTATGTGCTTGCAGCGTGGCTTTCTGATGTGCAATTTCCTGCCTGTGACAGCATTGCTTATGTTAATTATACACAAAACTCAGAACAACACTTTTCCTAACTTGTCTTTTTCCATTCTTAGCTTAAAAAAAACCACTGTAGTGTGTTTTGGGCATAGCAGTTTCCCATTGTTATTCTGGTTATTATGGTCTTATTTGTTGCACAAGTTGGGGTAGGGGCTCATGTGCTTTAATCTTTGTAAGGTGCCAGGTGTTCCCAGAGTGACTGTGGCTTTGTTGGAGAGCAAAAAGATTTCACAATCTATCTGTCATCTTCTTACAGTCCACAGAAGCTTTGGAATTCATGAAACGAGACCTGGCTGAGTTCACTCAAGTAGTGCAGCATGACACGGCCTGCACTATCGCTGCTACGGCCAGTGTGGTCAAGGACAAGCTGGCAGTGAGTATAGGAGTAAGAGAGCTGGGATTCTTGTTGCAGAAGGCAAAGCAGGGGGTGAACAGGATATACCTGCCTCTGAGGACATGATCCTCTGAACAAATCCCGATGTATAACCACGAGCTTCAGGTTTCAGACTTTCTCCCTGGTGCAGGTTTGGTGCCGAGCACTGTGTGGAATTTCCTTGCTGTAGTGGTGGGGAACCTCTGGAGATGAGTGGAGAAAGGTTCCTTGTGCTTTCCCTCTCCCTGTGTGCCCTCCAGGTGGGATACTGGCAGTGTCAGGGTAGTATGACATCAGACCTCCACACAAGCTGTCAGCCTTAGACCTGCACAGCTGCTGCTGGGACAGTCCAACCCCCCAACCAGCCAGTCCCCGAACCTGGCTGTCTCCTTCCCTGCAAAGCTTAGGCTCAGTTCTCTGCAAACTTATTACAAGGCCTGCCTGTCTCATGGCTGCCTGAGGCTAGTGCCTGCCACCACACCCTTCTAGCCCAGCCCTGGCCACACAGTTGCCTCATTAGCACTTTTTTGAACTGAGAGGTGTCCTGCTTCCTTAAAGGAACATGTTCAGAAAAGACTGAGACTTGTCCTGCTGCTGCAGGCACTGTTACTTACGCTGTGCTGCTTTTTCTCTTCAAGAGGACAGAAGGTTCCTCAGGTGCGACTGAAAAGGTGAGGAAAGGGCTCTCTGACTTCCTGGGTGTCATCTCGGACACATTTGCTCCCTCGCCAGATAAGACCATTGACTGCGATGTCATAACACTGATGGCAACACCCACAGGTACCACAGAGCCCTATGACAGTGCCAAGGTGAGTGCCCCGTTCATGGATGTGGAGTTGTGACCCCTGACCTCTGGGGGCTCTGCTGCTGTCCCTCCGCTGACAGCTCTGCACTGTGTGTCTTCTCCTCCAGGCACGCCTCTACAGCCTCCAGTCAGACCCAGCCACCTACTGCAACGAACCTGATGGTACGAGCGGGCTTGGTGATGCTGCCGAGCCAAGCTGGCCCATGCATGGGGTCTGTGGGCCGTTCTGAATTGCCCAGAGCCTTTTGCTAGCAGACCTGCTGGTGTGACTGTAGATGGGGTCACCATTTATGGAGAGCAGATCTGTCTCTTGCATTGGGGACTAGCTTAGACTGAGAGCTTACTGGATCAGTTTAAACTGGCATTATGTGGCCTTGCACTGGCAGAGGACCCACAGTGTTGGGTGGCCTCAGAGACCCATGTCTCCCTCCTTCTTTGCCCCTTGTTTCCCCCAGCTGTTCTAGTCTGTAGCATCTTTCCAGTGAAGCTTCCCCAAACTGTTCCTACCTTGTGTGTGCCAAGGACTGTTGTCACTGTGCTTGTCCTGTGCAGGCCCTGCTGAGCTCCTGGAGGCCTGGCTCTCTCAGTTTAACCTAGAGGAGAAGAAAGGGGAGATCGCGGAGCTGCTGGCAACCAGCCCTTCCATCCGGGCTCTCTACACCAAAATGGTAAGGCCCTGCCTGGCTCCTGTAGTGCGCAACTTCTGCCTTGGGGTATGGTGTGGGGAAGCCCTGAGCTGATTGGGCCCTGGAGTTGGTGGTAGAAAGGACTGTGGTTGCATGGTAAACTGGCACATGGATATTAGGCAGTGCATTGTATTCTTCTTCCCTGCTTGTTTGTCACAGGCCTGGAATAGAAGTTCCTCTGTAGCTATCCAGTCTGTGTTGCACCTGAGGCTTGGTCCCAAGCCTGTGTACCTGAAAATGCAGGTGCCTTGTGCAGTTACAAGGGTAGCTGCAAGGCTCAGGAGGAGAGAGGAGCAAGGCAGGAACCACAACCCTCCCTCTGAAGCGACTCATTTGTTTCCCATGTTGCTCCCAGGTCCCTGTGGCTGTTTCCCATTCTGAATTCTGGCAGCGCTACTTCTATAAAGTGCATCGCCTGGAGCAGGTAGGTCAGGAGGTGGATGGCTCCCCTGGTGACTGGGCACTCCAGCCAAGGTGGCCTCTAATGCAAACCAAAGAGGCAGAAGATACTTTTCCTGGAAAAGCAGAGACCTGGACTGCCTTGTCTGTGTCCTTGTTGTCACTGAAATGCCTGGGGGAAGAAAGGACTCGGGGTGTGAGCGGCTGCTGATGTTGAATTCCCTGCAGGATGAAGCCCGGAGGGAGGCTCTGAAGCAGCGAGCAGAGCAGAGCATTCACCAAGAGGAGCCAGGCTGGGAAGAGGATGAAGGTGGGTCAGATGGTCGGGGATCTGTGGGAGGGCTCGTGCAGACCTCGACAGGTCTCAGTTAGAGAGGGTAGTGGCTCCTCCTTGCTCCCACAAATTCATCTCCCAGCCCAGCGACAGCCAATCCTGCTGCACTGTCAGCTGCTGCTGCGCTTGCTGAAACATCTCTCGCTTCTCTCCTGCCTTCCTACAGAGGAGTTCTTGGGGATGTCACCCCTGCCTTGTGCAAACGTGAAATTTCCAGAAGCAGCAGAGAAAGAATCTGCCCCTGCAGCCTTGGAGGGAAGCCACCCCACTGCTCACAAGGGACCCTCAGAGGAAAGCTGGGCCGTCCTCCCTCCAGAGCTGGTCCCAGCAGAGGGGAGCCCCTCTGAGAGCAGTGAGAGCATCTCCCTTGTGACTCAGATTGCAAACCCTGCCTCTGTGCCTGCTGCACAGCTACAGACTGGAGCACAACCAGCTGGGACCGGAGACCTCTCCCAGAGGCTGCTGGAGGCCACCTCAGAAGAGCAGAGCTCCCTGCCAAAGCCCCCAGAATCTGGTCATCTTTCTGCACCTGCCCAGGAGTCAGCAGCATCCTCAGAGCAAGCGGCTGTTACAGAGCTCAAAGAGGTGGAGAGCAAAGCCCAGAGCAGGACAGAGACTCTGAAAGAGGAAGGACCAACAGATCTACGAGTCTTTGAGCTGAACTCGGATAGTGGGAAATCCACTCCCTCCAACAATGGCAAGAAAGGTGCGTTTGTGGGGCCAGCACAAGACCTGGAAACCTTCTGCTGGGGGTGGCAGCTTTTGGGGAGAGGGCTCTGATTTTTATGATAATGGGGAGGAGAAAAAGGGTTTTGCCAAACCGCCCAGGAAGGTTAGATCCAAAGACTGTCTGATGGCTGAAGCTAAAGTGGAAGCAAATCCTTATGCTGTTGGGCAGTGTCAAGTGGGTCACATCAGATGGTGACAGTCTGCTCTCAGCAGCCGGCTGGGCTGGTGCTGCAGCTGCTTCTGGCCTCAGCCCTCTCCTGAGCCCAGTTCCTGGTGCTTCTTCAGGAGGACGGAGGATGAGGCTCCTCCAGGACCCTGAGGAGGGACATGTTGCAGCTCTGGCTGACACGATTTACAAAACTTTCATTGCAGGGGACTCTGTCTTCAGCAGAGCCTGCTGCAGGTTTCCCAGAACAATGGTTATGTTGGTTATAGGATTATAAAGCCACTGGGAGCAACCGAAGTCCCAGTAAGGTGGCCAGGTGTCATGAACTGGGTCTGTGAGCAGAATGAAATTAGACAAGAAATAAAAAGTCTACTGGCTGAACAGAGTAGGCCTTTGGTCCCTGACCTGCTGGGTGCCGGGGCAAGGCTGTAGTCTATGTAGGGAGTATGGTGTTGCCTTCCTGCTGCGTGTGTCCCTGAGAGTGTGTCCTTGCTGCTCCTCTGCCTCCGGAGGTTGTTCTTTCTATTGGGGACTATGACAGTTCCCGTATCTAAGTCACTCCTGTCAGTCCTTATCTGTTGTATTTTCTGTGTGACTGAAACTCGACCCAGGCAAGAGAACATTTTTCAGCGTTCACCTCTTCCACTTGTTCTGAACCAGCCCTTGCTGTGAGGGAAGTGCATTTCAGTCCATCCCGTCTCTGTCAGCGAGATGACAGCCTGCTCTTGGGAATGGGGGAGGCTTTCTCTCCTCGGGCAGGCTGCGGTAGATATGAACCTCATGAATGCCAGGGCTTTGTGGGCCTGCTTGGGTAGCTGTGCACTTTGGCCAGCGTGTCTGGAGAGCACATGCAGCTCTGACGGCTTCAGCTGTGATGTTTGTGGTTACAGGCTCCAGCACTGACATCAGTGAGGACTGGGAAAAGGACTTTGATTTGGACATGACTGAAGAGGAGGTGCAGCTGGCGCTCTCAAAGGTGGAAGTGTCTGGGGAGGTGAGTGGAGGGGAGGTGCTCACTCCAATAGGCAAGAAAGGTTGCTCCCAGAAACCATCAGCAACTCCTTGGGGTGATGCTGCATGAGCTGGGTGCTTCTCCTGGGAGGTGGAGAGAGACTGCAGTACCTCAGAGCAAGAAGGCAAATCCCTCAGCTTGAGCTCTGCTTCCAGCCCCTGTGCTGGTGCTGAGGCTGTGCAGTGCATTGCAGTGAGACGGGGCTGCCTCTGGCCTGGAAGGAAGCTCACAGGAGGCTTCTCCAAGGCGTGACTTGCTCTTTGAGGACACAGGCTTAGCTTGGGATCTTGCCGTGGGAGTCATGGGTGTTAGCTGGAGCAGAGAGTGGCTGTCTGGACATGCTTAAAGAGGGATGAGTGTGCACGTTCCCCAAGGGGAGCAGAGCAAGCGTATCTCTGTTGTGAGAGTGTGGGAGCATGAGGATATGTCATATGTTGTGCTGACTTGGGTGCCCTGGGCAGGAGGAGCTGTTGACAGATGGTTGTTGAGTTACAGAAAGAAACTGAGGGATGTTACTCTTGTTTGCAGCTGGAAGATGAAGAGTGGGAAGACTGGGAATAAAGCCGACTGCTTCCAGTGTGTGTCACAGACTCATTTCCACCATCGAATGTGAATTAAATCATGGACCGGCTGTTCCTTTGTGTGTAACTGTGCTGGAGATTGCAGTTCCAGGCTGGAGGGGGTTCCTTCCTGC